AAAAAGTAAGCAAACAAAGGTCAGAATGACAGAAATGAACAGACACTGACAATGAGAAGCTGAAAAAACTAGGGGTAAATCTAAAGCAGATAGGTAGATCATAACCAATGGAACTGGGCAAAGAAAGGCATAAGGTATAGTAAGCATGAAGCAGACTGCAATTAAGTGGAGTATCTGGCCTGGCCTGGTGCTCAGACCTATAATCCCAGTACTTTGGGAGGCTGAGGCAGGTCTGCTTGAGCTCAGGAGTTCAAGACCAGCCTAGGCAACATGGCAAAACCCTCTCTCTACTAAAGATACAAAATTAGCTGGGCATGGTGGTGGACACCTGTAGTCCCACCTACTTGGGAGGCTGAGATGGGAGGAGGATTACTTGAGCCCAGAAGGTGGAAGTTTCACTGAGCCGAGATCGCACCACTGCACTCCAGCCTGGGCGACAGAAGAGGCCCTGTCTCAAAAAAAAGTGGGGTACCAGTCTACCCTGCAAAATCTTAGGCTGAGCAATCAGAAATGTGTAACACCCCAAAAGGCATAAAATATGGGCTAAAATCAGATAACTGGAAAGTTCCACAGAAAGAACAAACACAACCACCTTTCAACAACGTACACAGTATCCATGCAATTACTTCAAAGGATAAAAGGAATTTAGCATTTCAAAACAAAACACTGAATATTCTGGTTGTTAGGTGCTCAAAAGAAAGAGTTGATCCAGGTAAGGAAACTTTTTCCTTTTGTTTTGTTTTGTTTTGTTTTGGAGACAGAGTTTCGCTCTGTCGCCAAGTCTGGAGTATAATGATGCTCACTCAGCCTCCGCCTCCCAGGTTCAAGCAATTCTTGTGCATCAGCCTCCTGAGTAGCGGAAATCGCAGGTATGCATCACCATACCCGGCTAATCTTTGTATTTTTAGTAGAGATAGGCTTTTGTCATGTCTTGAACTCCAGACCTCAGGTGATCTGCCTGCCTTGGTCTCCCAAAGTGTTGGAATTACAGGCGTGAGCCACTACACCCAGCCACATTTTAAAATCAAAAATCTAATTTACTCACGACAATCAGAAGATAATCATATCCCAGCCAGGCATGGTGGGTCGCGTCTATAATCTCAACACATTGGGAGGCCAAGGTGGGCAGATCAATTGAGGTCAGTAGTTCAAGACCAGCCTGGCCAACATAGTGAAACCCTGTCTCTACTAAAAATACAAAAATTAGCCAGGCATGGTGGCGCTTGCCTGTGATCCCAGCTACTTGGGAGGCTGAAGCAGGGAGAGGTTGCAGTGAGCCAAGATCACACCACTAAACTGCAGCCTGGGCAACAAAGTGAGACTCTGTCTCTGGGAAAAAAAAAAAAAGACAATCACATCCCTTTAAAAGAAGAACAGAATGCTATCAAAAACCAAACAAGAAATGGCTCTATGTGGCTAAATATATGACCAGCAAAAATAAAAATTTCAACATAAGAGTAAGAAAATAAAGCCAATGGAATAGTCCTGAAAGGAACAGGAAGAAAAATAAAACTGAAAATTGTTTATTTGTGGGTAGAAGAGTATAGTGAGATTACATTTTCTTCTCTACTAATCTCATATTTTTAGCTGAGATCAAATGGGTTTTCTTTTTTTAAAACTCTATTAACTGACCAGAATTATACCACAATGCAATTGCTTCCTTTTATACTGTGCCTTCTTTGTATAATTTATTCCCCTTAAATTAATTTTTTAAGTATCTTTTCTTTGAAGGAGGTAGAGAGGCCACTGTGAGTTTTTAGGTTTTGAGAATGAAGAAAAAAAGAAAATCTACAGAAGCAAAGAATGTAAAGTCTACAGAAGTGGGCAGAGAGTAAAAATCAGAATGAGAGAGAGTAACCAACCAGTAGTGGTGATCAACCAAGAAGTATCTATCAGGTCCTGCAGGTTAGCAATCAGAGATTCCATGAGGAAGAAGTAAGGAGAGAAAGACAGCCTTACCATAAGTGTTCTACACAAGACTACTACCAGAAAAGAAACTGTCAAGATGCCAAGTCAATTAATACACCCTTAAATATTGACCATACAGTCCCACATTTCTTAAAAAAAAAAAAAAAGAAATCAGATATTTACCCGACAGAGAGCTGGCCAGGCTTCCTCTCCATAACTTACAATCATCCTGACTCAGTTGTCGTTGAAGTTTAACTTTTCCAGTGGATGAAAATATGTCAGGATTACTGAGTTTCCTGAAGAGCAGGGGACTAAGTCCAGTTACCACATCCTTCAAAGAGAAAAAGTAAGACATAAGTCTTTAATATCTCTTCTGAAGTATAAGAACTTTATATTAAACATCTCTATAACACTCATTACAGTTTAAAAATGCCAACATATTATATACTTCCCCCTCAATAGCTAAAGACAGAAACTTTTTAGTAAAAGCTGGGTATGCTATAAAGGGCACAGGATATTGATTATAAAATGCCAAAGGAAAAATAGGTGAGAAGGGTCACAGGATGACAGACACTTTGAGAGGATATATTATTCATAATGAGTACACTTCTTAGTTAAGTTTATTTACATTTCTCCTTTTATTCATACCTTTCCTATATCCAATAAAGAAAAGCATATTTTAGTTTTTAAGAAAATCATTGAATGGTAGACTTTACCTGTCATATAAAACTAGAAATACTTCTAACATTCAATTAATGATAAAATTGATCTTAGAGCTTTCTTTATTTGCCTATAAGATGAGCTAAATACAGGTTTTCAAAGAAAAAGTATGAAGTGCTATGAAAAAATACAGGCAATATGAAACACTGACAGAACCTTCCCTTTTCCTTTTAGTCTAGTCCATTCCATTCTACTCCAATGCCTCTTTCTCCTCATTCAGTAAGCAGTGTCCAACAATATCATCAACATGTAGACATCTTTAAGCCAACACCCACCTAATCAGGAGTATTATAATAAATAAGAAACTTTTGGAAAAAAAAACAAGGGCAATGAGGTATATCTATTATATGTCAATGAAAGAAGCTATAAAAAATACAGATAAGTAACACTTCAAACTGATCTAGACAGTACGGAGACAAGAAGCATAAGAAAATAACTGACCCCATGTCACCTGCCTTTTGAAAAACAAGATTCAAGTAACAGGCACTATGGCAATACTAAAAGCCACAAGGAGAAAAAAAGGAGGAAATATCCAGTTCTCTAAGATTAAAAAAAGAAAGAAAAAAACAAATTCTCTACAGTTATATACTGTGATTAGTGAGTTCAAAAAAAAAATGGGAAATTACTAATATTGGTTGGTTGTGACTACCCAAAACATGATTTACAAATACCCAAACATAGAAAGAAGAGTGAAGTTGGTGAAGAAAAACACCTGAAAAGAAGAAAAAGACAATTTCAAAACATGGTGGTAAATGAATAAAAGAATAAAGGAGGACAGTGGGGCACTGAATCATCAAACATTTGATGTGTCCAGGCACCTAACTGTAGCAGGAGTGAACAGTGAGACAGGAGAAACAGGAAATAGAACTTAATGCAAAATAGAAGGTAGCAAGGGAACAGCCTATATTTGCACTATCTGGCATGTCAAGGATGAAACAGTACCTATGAATCAAGGAGAAACCAGGGAAGGAAGCAGAGTTTGGACTAATGCTGGCAACCAATTAAAGAGAGCTGGCCACTCACAAATGTGACAAGCACAGCAAGAAGCTCTAGGTGGAGAGAACTAAGAAGGCATCAAGAGAACCTGGAAGACATCAAGTTAAAGTGGATATCCTCTATGAAGGCAATGTAGAGACGGAAATACCCCATCCCCAAAAAAAAACTTACAACCAGCTGCATGAGAGAACCAGCAATTGGATGCCTGCTACACTGTATGTATGAATAATCAGTCTTAGCCAGAGAAAGAACAATGAAAAAATAATTAGATCAGTACTGATTAAGAGAAACACATATACTTTTCAATCTCCCTATTCCCTGCCACAAGACATCAAAGAAAGAAACTAGAAAACAGGAGAGGAGAAAAGAAGGAGAGGATCACACCCCTGCTTATCCCAAGTCTCTTTTCTGCCGAAACCTGTGAAAGGAAAGGAAATATAAATTAAATATGAAATGTAAATGTTTAAGCTAGGATTTTTAACTTTTACTGAAGTATATTACTCATTTTAGAAAAGTACACATACCTAAGCACAGACTCAATGAATTTTCACAAATTGAACATACCCACTAAGCAGCATCAAGATTAAAACACTGAAAATACATAGTACCCCAGCCGGGAGCGGTGGCTCACACCTGTAATCCTAGCACTTTGGGAAGCCGAGGAGGGCAGATCACAAGGTCAAGAGATCGAGACCATCCTGGACAACAAGGTGAAACCCCGTCTCTACTAAAAAGCCAAAAATTACCTGGGCATGGTGGCGCACACCTGTAGTCCCAGCTACTCGGGAGGCTGAGACAGAAGAATTGCTTGAACCCAGGAGGCAGAGGTTGCAGTGAGCCGAGATCACACCACTGCACTCCAGCCCAGGCGACAGAGTGAGACTCTGTCAGAAAAGAAAAGAAAGAGAAGAGAAGAGAGAAAGGAAGGAAGGAAGGAAGGAGGGAGGGAGGGAGGGAGGGAGGGAGGGAAGGAAGGAAGGAAGGAAGGAAGGAGGGAGGGAGGGAGGGAGGGAGGGAGGGAAGGAAGGAAGGAAGGAAGGAAGGAAGGAAGGAAGGAAGGAAGGAAGGAAGGAGGGAGGGAGGGAGGGAGGGAGGGAAGGAAGGAAGGAAGGAAGGAAGGAAGGAAGGAAGGAAGGAAGGAAGGAAAATATACAGTACCCCAGACAGCTTCCTTGCACTGTTTCTGTCACTACCCTCGATCCCCCAAGGGTAATCACTATCCAGACCTCTAACAGCATAATCATATAAAGCACAAAAAACTTTACATGGATGAATTAAATCAGTCAGTGTGGACTATCCTGCTCTTCTATGTCTTGCTTCTTTTGCTCAACTAGACTAGACCTTGTTTGTTTGTCTGTTATGAAACAGGGTCTTACTGTGTCACCCAGGCTGGAGTGCAGTGGAGTGATTTCAGCTTACTGCAACCTCTGCCTCCTACGTTCAAGTGATTCTAGTACCTCAGCCTCCCAAGTAGCTGGGATTACAGGTGTGCGCCACCATGCCCAGCTAATTTTTTGTATTTTTAGTAGTGATGGGTTTTCACCATGTTGGCCAGGTTGGCCTCAAACTCCCGGCCTCAAGTGATCCGCCCTCCTCAGCCCCACAAAGTGCTGGGATTATAGGTGTCAGCCACATGCCTGGCCTAGACTGGACTTTTAAAACAGCAGAGCATTACTGAATTTACTCAGGAAATCATTAAAGGATAAGGATGGGAGAATGACACAAATAAGACAGCATCACATATAGTCCTACAGAGAAAGTAAAGAGGCATGAGAAGTAGAACTTTCTTAGCAACTTCCACACTAACTTACTTCTTGCAGTTTTCTAGTTCCCATTTCTACTCCCTTATGAGGTCCAGCCAAACTCCAGGTTTTTGGTTTCAATGGAATATCACTGTACCCTTATAATAAGCTCTTCCTTTCTACTTAAATTAGATCAAACTGGTCTCTACCATTTCTGCAATCAAATAATTCTTAAGCAAAATACAGAGTTGAACACAGGAAGGAATCTAGGATGACTTCCAGGTTTCTGGTTTGGGTGTTACGCTTAACAGTCATGGAATACAGAAGGACACACAAGTTTACAAACAAAACACTGCTATAGCCATAGTAAATATTAGCATAACTACAAATTACAGTCACTTTCTAACAACTATTAGAGGAATTGTATTTAGCCTCAAAAAAAAAAAAAAAAAAACTGAAGGAGACATGAATAGCTCTCTTCAACTACACAAGGGATATCTCCTACATTATAAGAAAGTAAAACTCCTTACTTCACAGGGTACTGAAGGAAAATAACAAAAAGAAAAGTAGGTTCTGAGAAACTGCTTTAGGCAGTGATTCTCAAAGTGTGATCTCCAGACCAGCAGCAGCTGTGAATTTATTAGAAATGCAAATTCTAAAGCCTCACCTCCAATTTACTAAATCAGAAATTCCAAGGGTGGGGACTAACAATCAATGTTTTAACAAGCCTTCTAGGGAATTCTGAAACATGCTAAAGTTTGAGAACCATCAAGCTAGTTCAACAGCTTTCCATATGATGCCACCAACACAGATATGTTTATAAATGTTGAGAACTGTGTCACAAATTATTTGAAAGTGATAACAGCCAGGTGCACTGGCTCATGCCTGTAATCCCAGCACTTTGAGAGGCCAAGGCCAGCGGACCACCTAAGATCAGGAGTTCAAGACCAGCCTGGCCAACATGGTGAAACTCCATCTCCACTAAAAATACAACCAAAAAAAAAATTGCCAGATGTGGTGGCACACACCTGCAATACCAGCTACTCGGGAGGCTGAAGCACGAGAATGGTTTGAGCCTGGGAGGCAGAGGTTGCAGTGAGCCAAGATCGCACCACTGCACTCCAGCCTGGGCAAGAGAGTAAGGCTTCATCTCAAA